TTTAGATCAGAAGCCAATTTCATTGAGCATACCAGGGGTTTATAGAGAGTTTTACTTGAATGGTGCCTATATAAGGCTCTAGTTTTGGTAACAATTTCCTATTGGTTACACATTCTTCATGACATCACATCACCTGGTAACATTATCTTATCACAAAGTCTCACAACATGTTTCTTGGTCACTTCTTGTCCAGGGAGCCTTTACTGGTGCCTGTGTCTGCCACAGTTTCTGCTCCATCAGGCCTGAGATATCAGGCCCCATTATCAACTCCATTGTTTCACTCTCTGTTTTATTCCCAATAAAGGGTCACCAGGGCTCTGCCCAATGGGGGTCACTGGGGATCATCCAACGTGGATCCTCCCATGGGGGATGGAGCTGGATCAGCGCACGAAGCTCTTCCCACACTCGGGGCACTCACAGGGCTTCCCTTAGTGGTGTCTCCGTTGGTGTTGGGTCAAATGAGAGCTCGTGGAGAAGCTCTTCCCACACTCCCCACACTCGTAGGGCCTCTCCCCAGTGTGGGTGTGCCGGTGGATGGTGAGGGTGGAGTTGTGCTTGAAGCCCTTCCCGCAGTTGGGGCAGCGGAAGGGCCTCTCCTCTGTGTGAATCCGCTCATGTAGGAGGAGACTGGAGCTGGTCTGAAACCTCTTCCCACACTGGGGACACTCGTAGGGCCTCTCCCCTGTGTGGAGGAGCTGGTGTCTTCTCAGATTGCAGCTCAACCCAAAGCTCTTCCCACATTCCAAGCAGGTGTGGGGCCGTTCCCCCGTGTGGATCACCTGGTGCTGGGTCAGCTCTGAACTCCACCTGAAACTCTTCCCATATTCCAAGCATTTGAGGGGCTTCTCCCTGCCATGAGGCTTCTCCACCAGCTCTGAGCTCTGCCTGGATCTCCGGCCGCCTTCCTGGCTCAGGGGGGCTCTTTCCTCCCCGCAGCTCCCTGGGCTGGGTTTGCAGCCCCTCCTCCTGAGGGATCTCCAGGGCTTTTCCTTCTCCATGCAGCAACACTGTGGGAATGGCAAATGCTGGTTTGGGGAAGAAAACAAGATGAGAATGCATTGGGCTGGTGGTTTCTCTATGCCCAAGTTCATCTCAGAAGGTCACCGGGCATCTTGTGTCTCTAAGAACCTCCAAAACACCAAGATTCACACAAAAATCCCCCAAACTTCAAGAAACAGATCAAAACCTCTTCAAACATCAAGATTCAGCCGAAACTCCCTCCAGAAGACAAACACTCAGCCCCCACAAAAAACCAAAGCACCAACATTTAACCGACAAAAAGTTCAGAAACACCAAGATTCACCCCCAGGAAAATCGTGGATCCCCCTCCCCGCTCACCGACTGCATGTAGGAGGGGGCAACGCTGCTAGGGCTGGGGGGGAGGCTGCAGATACAGGGAGATGTGGAACCTTGTGCTGCTTCCTGTTTCTGCTCCTACTCCTCCTCATGTGTCGCTGCTCTTCCTCACACTCTTCTTCCTCCTGCTATTCCTCCTTCTCCTGCACAATCCCACCTTCTCTTCCCACGTGCATCATTTGACCATTTTGTTCCTCCACCCTGCTTCTCCTTCCCTTCTCCTCCTGCCCCAGGCCCAGCACCCACTGCCGGCTCCCTCTTCCCCCCAAAGCCACAGCATCCCACCGCAGGGGCAGGGATGGAGCTGGGGCAGGTCGGGCTGGGGCAGCGCTGGGCTCTCGGCCGCTCCCGCCCGCACTCGGTCCCCACTGCAGCCGCTCCCGCCAGGACAGCGCGGGGGGCCCGGCCTTGGCGCTGCCCCACTCCCACCTCCCCAAATTCCCCTCCCGGGGG